GCGAGGGGGTGGAGGGCGCTTAAAAGGGCAACTTGGCACCGTCGGCTTCCGCGATCTCGCTCTAGTCCCCGACGGTGTAGCCTAGGGGTGCACCCTGGGAGTCACCCCCACATGGAGGGGCAAGCTTGGTGGAGGGGAAGGGGACCTCCCTTGCTCCCTAGTTCTCTCCCACGGTGGGAATTCTCAGGAGCGTCTCGACACTCGGAAGGGGCACGATTTCTCTCCCCATCGATTTCCCCATCCCGTACTCCGCTCAGTTTTGGGGGGCGAGGAGGACCCTGCTGCTAAGCAAGCGGTCCCACATTTTCTCCCTGAAATCCCATCTCTGGAACCCCGCCCCTCCCCAGCGTCTCTCTCCTGTCAATTTCAGAGGGGTTACTAAGGGGCTAGCCCCGCATCCGTGCGCGGGCGGGAGGTGGGGGGAGTATGGCCCCACCCCTCCCGCCCCGAGAAGGTGAGAAGGAAGTGGGCCAAGGGGGCGCGGTCGGCCGCTGACTCACAGCCGCAGGGTCGGGGGTGGGGTGGGGGTGGAAGTGGGGACCGGCGGGGAGTGCCGGAGTGGGAGGGCCTGGCATTCGCCCTTGGTGGGCAGGAGACGCCTGGTTCTTCGGTGTGTAAAGCTCCCGACCCACGCACGCCGCGCTCTGACTCAGTTTGTCCTGCGGAGGACAGCAGGATCATCCCACCCGTCAGGAGGACCCGGAGGTGAGCAGACCCTCCCGGGAGCCCCCGCCCCCGCCCCCACACTCCGGCTCCCGGCCGAGCCCAGACACCCTCCGAGGCTTCCGCAGCGGGTCTGGCCGGCCCCGCCCCGAGTGACGTCACTGGCGTGGTCGCGCCCCTTGGGTAGAGCGCCACCTGGCCCGGGTGGGGCGCCCGAGCCCTGGGAAACCAGTTAGTTCCACGTTTGCACATGGGTAAACTGAGGCCCGGGAACAGGAAACGAATCTGGCCTATGGCCCTCTTGCCTGAGCCCCCAGAACACGGAAAGCCACCCAGGTATGAGTGTAAAACTAACCGATTCTCAGGGCCAGCTGACTAGGTGAGAGCACCTTCCCAGCCTCTGTTCAAGCCGACTCCTGTGTCCAGATGTGGCCCTGACCTCCTTCACCTGGGCAGGCTTCGTCCTTCCAGGCCAAGCCCTGACGTAAATTCCCCTCCCCTTCTCCACCCCACTCTGGGAGATCGTGAACCCTGATTCCCGGAGGTTACCATTGTTTCTCAGTGAGTCTCCTCGGGCTGAGGTGTCTAGGCCAAGGGGTAGACTTAGTTTCTTTCTTGGCTTTCTTGTTCTTTGTTTGACATGTAGTCTCTCCCTCTGTCACCCAGGCTGGAGTGCAGTGGCGCAATCTTGGCTCACTGCAACCTCCCCCTCCTCGGTTCAAGCGATTCTCCTGCCTCAGCCTCCTGACTAGCTAGGATTACAGGCAAGATGGGGGTGTCACCATGTTGGCCAAGCTGGTCTCGAACTTATGACCTCAGGTGATCTGCCTGCCTCAGTCTCCCAAAGTGCTAGGATTACAGGCGTGAGCCATTGAACCCAGTTGACTTAATCAAGTTCTGGACTTCACTCATCCCAGCCAAGCCCTGAACAGCAGCTCAACAAACTATTGTCCAGTTGAATGAGAACCCCAGTTCTGTGTGACTTTGGGTAACTGCTTTCTCCTCTCTGGGTCTCAGATTTCCCATCTGTGAAATAGGAGGGGTGGCATTTCTGGGTGCCACCTACAATACAGCAACAGTCAGCAAATATGGTTTTTGGTTTGTTTGCTTGAGACAGGATCTCTCTTTCTTGCTTGGGCGGAACAAACTGGCATAACCAGGGCTCATGCAGTCCTCCAACCTCAGCCCACTGAGTAGATGGGACCATAGGTACACACCACTATGCCCCGTTAATTATTGTAGTGGCAGGGTTTCACTATGTTACCCAGGCTGGTCTCAGATTCCTGGGCTAAAGTGATCCGTCTGGCTTGGCTTCCCAAAGTGCTGGGATTGGAGGTGTGAGTCACCGTGCCCAGCCAAGAAACTTTTTCTGTAAAAGTCTAAACAGAAAATCTTTTAGATATGCTAGACAATAGGGTCTGGTTTACACGCGCTTGTTTTTGTTTTGTTTTGTTTTTCTTAGAATCCTTTAAAAATGTAAAAACACTTCTTAGCTTAAGTGCTGTACAAAACAGGTAGCCAAGAGTCCTGCGTTAGAGAACTCTTACATACGTGTACATAAGGATCTTTATGGCAGCAGTAATGTGAGAGCAAGAAATTGGAGGCCGGGCGCAGTGGCTCAAGCCTGTAATCCCAGCACTTTGGAAGGCCAAGGCGGGTGGATCACGAGGTCAAGAGATCGAGACCATCCTGGTCAACATGGTGAAACCCCGTCTCTACTAAAAATACAAAAAATTAGCTGGGCATGGTGGCACGTGCCTGTAATCCCAGCTACTCGGGAGGCTGAGGCAGGAGAATTGCCTGAACCCAGGAGGCGGAGGTTGCGGTGAGCCGAGATGGCGCCATTGCACTCCAGCCTGGGTAACAAGAGCAAAACTCAGTCTCAAAAAAAAAAAAAAAAAAAAAAAAGAAATTGGAAATAGCTTGAATGTCTATCAAGACAGGGGAGGCCAAGCACAGTGGCTCATGCCTGTAATCCCAGCACTTTGGGAGGCCAAGGAGGGTGGATCACTTGAGGTCAGGAGTTCGAGACCAGCCTGGCTTGAACATGGTGAGGCCCTGTTTCTACTAAAAAAAAATTAAAAATTGGCCAGGCGCAGTGGCTCATGCCTGTAATCCCAGCAGTTTGGGAAGCTGGGGCAGACAGATCACTTGAGGTCAGGAGTTCGAGTCCAGCCTGGCCAATATGGCAAAACCCCATCTTTACTAAAAACATAAAAAGTTAACCAGGAATGGTGGTGGGTGCCTGTAATCTCACCTACTCGGGAGGCTGAGGCAGGAGAATCACTTGAACTCGGGGGACAGAAGTTGCAGTGAGCTGAGATCGTGTCACTTCACTCCAGCCTGGGCAAAAGAGCAAAACTCCATCTCAAAAACAAAAAACCAGGCATGGTGGCGCACACCTGTAATCTCAGCTACAAAGGGGGCTGAGGTGGGAGGATCACTTGAACCCAGGAGGCAGAGGTTGCAGTGAGTCGAGATTGGGATATTGCACTCCAGCCTGGGTGACACGGCAAGACTCTGTCTCAAAAAAATAAATAAATAAATAAATAAAATAAAAGATGAAGATGGGGATAGTGAAACGCTTTGGACATCCTTTTCTGAAGCACCGAGTGAGCAGCAACTATAGAGAAGGAAACGTGGTCTGGGCGAGGTGTGTCGAGCCTGTAATCCCAGTGCTTTGGTTTTTTGAGAAGCCAAGGCAGGAGGATCACTTGAGGTCAGGAGTTTGAGACCAGCCTGGACAACATAGGGAGATCCCCATCTCTTTAAAAAAAAAAAAAAAAATTGACTGGGTGTGGTATCGTCCATCTGTGGCCCCAGGGGAGGATGAGGTAGGAGGACTTCTTGAGCCCAGGAGTTTGAGGCTGCAGTGAACTGTGATTGTGACATTGTACTCCAGTTTGGGATGGAGACCTAGGCCTTGTCTCTTAAAAAACGGGCGGCACTGGCCAGGCGCAGTGGCTCACACCTGTAATCCCAGCGCTTTGGGAGGCTGAGGCAGGCGGATCACCCAAGGTTGGGAGTTGGAGACCACCCTGATCAACACGGAGAAACCCCATCTCTACTACAAATACAAAATTAGCCCAGTATTGTGGTGGATGCCTGTAATCCCAGTTACTCGGGAGGCTGAGGCAGGAGAATCACTTGAACCCAGGAGGTGGAGGTTGTAGTGAGCCAAGAGTGTGCCATTGCACTCCAGCCTGGGCAACAAGAGTGAAACTCTGTCTCAAAGAAAAAAAAAAAAAAAAAAAGGCCAAATTGTATCTTGCTTCTAAACCTTCACGCTGGCTATTCCCTCTGCCTTAGAACACTCGTCGGAGTATTTGCAGAGCTGACTCTTCTCTGTCAGGTCTCTGGTCCGTTGTCCCCTCCTCGGAGACCTTCCCTGATCCCCCTGTTTCAAAAGCCATCTCCCCCACCATGGAAAACTGAGTGGCTGAAGTGTGAGGGGGATGGAGAAAGACTTCATTGTAGGCCGTCTTGCACTCTTTGCATTTCAAACCAAGTGAATTTAGTACCCATTCAAAACTATGTGAATTAAACAAATGAAAAATTAAAAAAAAAAAAAAAACCAAAAAACTCAAAGTAGGTTCCCTAGTCATTTTCTCACCACATCCCCCTGTTTTAGTTTCTTCATGACACTCATCAGTCTCCAAGATGACTTTATTTTATTTTGTTATTACTAATTACAGATTGGGTCTTGCTGTGTTGCCCAGCCTGGTCTCAAACTCTTGGGCTCAAGTGATCCTCCCACTTCACCCTCCCCAAGGGCTAAGATTACAGGTGTGAGCCACTGTGCCTGGCAAGACGACTTTCTTTCTTTCTTTTTCTTTCTTTCTTTCTTTCTTTATTAAAGATGGGGTTTCACCATGATGGCCAGGTTGGTCTTGAACTCCTGACCTCAGGTGATCCACCCACCTCAGCCTCCCAAAGTGCTAGGATTACAGGCGTGAACCACCGCGCCCGGCGACGACTTTATTTATTGATTCCCTTGTTTGCTGTGTCTCTTGACCAGGTCAGCCCCAGTGGGGCAAGGATCCTGGTGGGTCAGCCTGATTCATGGCTGTGAGGCTGAGGCCTGGCATACAGCAGGTGCCCAACAACGTATTTGCTAACAGACTAGGCAAATCACGTTTGTTTGTTTACAAGAAAATGTATTTGGAATCACTTATGTAAATACAATTTAATAATCAAAACTCTACTTCCCGTCAAAAACAGATGAATAATAAGAAGGAAAGAGGTTTTTGGACTAGGTGGTCTCTCAGAATCTGTTCAGCTCCGAATATTTCAAAAACATTTGGTTGGGGGGGGGGTTGTTGCTTTTTTTTGGGGGGGGGCTTTTTTTTAGTGTGGGTGATGGCGGAATTTCCCCTCTCGTATGACTTATCTGTGAGAGGGAAGTACGAGAAGGAGAAATAAGCATGTTGGGTTCCTACACTGGCCTTCCTTCCTTCCGCTGGTACATGTGGCTGGGGAAGGGGTCCGTTTTCTTCTCCAGTTCTGTTGAGGCCCCAGTGGAGCAAAGGATCCCTAAAGGACAACAGCTGTCAGGCCTCCATGTCCAAGGCAGAGCCCAAATCCATGGCGGTGGGCTTCCCAGCCCCATCCTACTCCTTCTGTAACACAAAATGTAGGAGAAGGTAATTGGAAATCCTGTCTTCCCTTTCCTTTGAGGGACCACCATACCCATCTCACAATCCATTACAGTTTGAGTGGAGTGGACCCCAACCCCCAGCCTGGCCAATCAGAGACACAGTGACTGATTAGGCATGTGACCTGGTGTGGCCAATGAGAACCAGCTCCGAAGGACCACTCCTGCAACTCCCGGGAAATTGGCAAACTCTCTCCACTGGGGAGGTTAGGTTGCTGGAGTGTGAGCCTGGAGCTGCAAGTCTCAGCTACCTCAAGAGAAGACCCTGAAAGAGGATAAATCCAACTCGAAGAAAGTAAGAGTCCATGCATGATGACACTACCTGTCAACTGGATGCAGCCATGCCTTAAGGCTTTGAGTACTTCAATTACATGGCCCAGTAAATTCTCTGTTTTGCTTTCCCAGCTTGAACTGGGCTTCTGTGGCCATTGTTCACAAAGAAAACTGACAAATACCTCCTTCAGCTACTGAGAAATGATCAGCAATCCTCCCTCATCCACATGATAATAATCAAACTTCCTTCTCTGCCATGCAAAGGCCTTGGGGCCCAGCCAGGCCTGGTGTCTTACGCCTGTAATCCCAGCACTTTGGGAGGCCGAGGCTGATGAATCACCTGAGGTCAGGAGTTTGAGACCAGCCTGGGCAACATGGTGAAACCTAGTCTCTTCTAAAAATACAAAATTAGCCAGGCGTGGTGGCACGTGCCTGTAATTCCAGCTACTTGGGGGGCTGAGGCAAGAGAATTGCATGAACCTGGGAGGCGGAGGTTGCAGATTGTGCCATTGGACTCCATCCTGGGCAACAAGAGCAAAACTCCGTCTCAAAAAAAAAAAAAGCCTTAGGGCTCTAAACCCAGCTTCCTCACATTTCTTCCTTGATCCCACTCCATGCCCTTTTCCACCACCACCTCTTTGGATATCTCCAGAATCTCCTTAGCTATCTGGGCCCCATTACAGCTTCTCTCGTCTAAGACCTGGACCATACTCATATATGTCCTGATGGTATCTGCTGTGCATCCAGGCCTTAGAATTAGTCATTAGCATTCCCTGAATGCTTTCACCTTATTCTTTGATGTAGGAGGCACTTAGGATGATGGGGCAATGTGGGCATTGCAGGGCCCACATTTCTTGGAGGGGAATCACAGTATCTTCTCTGCATCTGTGTCTCCCTCATCATGCCTTGCACAATGCTTCAGGGCCAGGAGTTGGAATGTATTAATATAGCAAGCTGGCTGGGTTGCCATGGAATCTCAGCACTTTGTGAGGCCAAGGCAGGAGGATCCCTTGAGCCCAGGAGTTTGAGACCAACCTGGGCAACATTGCAAGACCCTGTCTCAAAAAAAAGAGAGAAAAAGAGAAAAGAACCCAGGCGCGGTGGCTCATGCCTGTAATTCCAGCACTTTGGGAGGCCGAGGCAGGCGGATCACAAAGTCAGGAGTTCAAGACCAACCTGACCAACATGGTGAAACCCTGTCCCTACTAAAAATACAAATATCAGCTGGGCGTGGTGGCGCGCACCTGTAATCCCAGCTACTCAGGAAGCTAAGGCAGGAAAATCACTTGAACCTAGGAGGTGGAGGTTGCAGTGAGCTGAGATTGTGCCACTGCACTCCAGCCTGGACGACAGAGCAAGGCTTCGTTTAAAAAAAAAGAGAGAGAGAAAAGGATGAAAAGGAAGGAAGGAAAGAAAGAAAAGGAAAACGAAGAAGAAAATACATCAGGCAAATCTCTTATCCTCACTGGCTTCAATATCCCTGTCACTAAGAGGGGTAGGGGGGCTCCTCTCCTAAGAGAAACATCGGAGAACAAAGATTCTTACCTGTCTGCACTCTTCTGAGACCTGGCAGAACTTTGAATAAGCTTCAGCGATGACAGTGGCCCTGGAGAGCATAGGAAGGCCCTCAGGAGGGGACCCTCCTCCTCCCACCCCACCTCCATTCCACCCCACCCTTCCTCCCCCCAACTTACTTGCAGTCCAGCCCCCCCCCAGGAGGTAAATCTGGGATGTCCTCTAAGGCCAGAGTCCTGAAAACTGTGTTCAGGCTGGGGAGCTCCTGAGCAGAGGCACACAGTTCTGAGAAAGAGTTAAGAGTTAGGCTGGGCACAGTGGTGCACACCTGTTTTCCAGCACTTTGGGAGACCGAGGCGGGTGGATCATTTGAGGCCAGGAGTTCGAGACCCAGCCTGGACAACATAGTGAAACCCCATCTCTACTCAAAATACAAAAATTTAGCTGGGTGTGCTAGTGCATGCCTGCAATCCCAGCTACTTGGAGGCTGAGGCCGGAGAATTGCTTGAACCTGGGAAGACGGAGATTGCAATGAGCCGAGATTGTGCCACTGCACTACAGCCTGGGTGACAGAGCAAGATTCTATCTCAAAAAAAAAAAAAAAAAAAAGTTATGGAAGAGCCCTCGAGGGCCAACCACCCCTCCAGCTGGGCCCGCGGAGCCTGCTCACCAGCGATTCTACGGCCCAGGGCTGCGTCCAGTGCTAGCTCTCTCCTGATCGCCTCCTCAGAAGGCCCAGGAGCCCCCGTGAAGCAGACCAGGATGCAGGTCATGTTGTCCAGGCTGCCCTGAAGCCGGTGGAGAAAATGGAGACCGATGGAGGAGAGCCGAAGGCAGAGCTTCCCAGCAATCCCCAGGTTCAAGTCCCCCACTTCAATCAGGTTATGCCCATTTGTCTCGTCTCACCCACCTGCCAGTCCACTCCTACTGGGACCTAACCATGTCCTATTCTAGGCCCTCCTTATTGAGAGAACAGTGCCCTTTCCCTACAGCTCTGCCCGCTCTGATGTTTACCTGCTCTTCCACCTTCCAGTACTAATCATATTTCAGGCCCCGCTCCTACGACCTAGAACCCCTCCATTCCAAAAGCCCACGCCCTTTCCTTTCCACTAACTCTCGGCTGGTGCCTCAAAGCGTACTTCGGGCTCCGCCCCCTGTATTTTGACCCTGCCCACTTCAGGCCACGCCCTTCGCGTGAGACCCACCCCCTCCTTCTCTAGCTTTACTCTTGCCTCTCCATCAAAGCCCTCCTCCCCCAAATCCCGAGGCTCCCTCCCTCTGAAGCACCAAGGCTCAAAGATACCACGCCCCACCCCCAGGACCTTGCAAAGACACGTGTCCAACAGCTGCGCGCAGAGAAGCTCTGGGGCCAGGCCCAGGCGGAGACGCGAAGCCACCATTCCCGCCAGGGCAGCACCAGACATAGTGTCCCAGACGCCATCAGAGGCCAGGAGCATGAACTCGTCCTCCGCCTGGCGTACCAGTGCGGCCACCTCGGGCTCCGCAGAAACGAGTTGTAGCTCGGGGGGCCTCCCCGGAGCCTGCTTGTAGGCAAAGTCGCCCAACGCTCGCGACACCGCCAAAGAGCCTTCGACGCGCCGGCGGCGGATGGTGCCGCCCGCGGCGTGGATGCGCTCGCGTTCCCGAGGTCGAAGGGGCCGGTGGTCCTCGGTGCTGAAGGCCACGGCGCCGGCGCGGCTCAGCACGGCGCGGGAGTCACCGCAGTGCGCCAGGTACAGGAACCGCGGGGAGACCAGCAATGCCACGGCCGTGGAGCCTCCCGTTTCCACGCGGGGCCAGAGGGAGCGCAGGCGCTCGTCAGCGCTCAAGAAGGCTCGGCGCAGCGCCTCGCGCACGCCCTCGGGCTCGTCAGGCTCCGGGCCCAGCTCCTCGAGCACATGGCCTGGCAAGTGGCGTGCACCGAAGCGGGCAGCTCGAGCCCCACCGTGGCCGTCGAGGACGGCAAAGAAGGCCCAGCCTGGTGGCAGACCAGGTAACGAAAGCCAAGTGCAGTGAGCGTCCTCCATGCGCGCGCGCCAGCCCTGCGCTGCGCTCGCCCCAAAGCGCAGGCCCCACAACCCCGCGGCACCCCCGTGCGGCCGCTGGGCGCGCCGCGGCGCTGTCAGAAGAGACCGAGGCCCATCGGAGGCCCTGCGCCCCGCCTCCTCCTCCTCTTCCTCCTCCGCCTCCTTCTCCCTCACTTTTTTCTTGCAAGCGGTCCAGAGGAAACTCTGCAGCTCACGGGCCAGGGCCGCCATCCTTCAGTCCTGGGATCAGGAGGGCTCCACACTGTACACTTGCCCGCCCCCCTCCATTAATCCCCTCCGCTGTGAGATTTTAAACCACCTAAATCTCCTTCCTGTCCTTTGACCTGCACTTTAGGCGGGTTACCAGAAGGCATTTCACTTCTGGGTCTCCTCTCTCCTGCACCTGCAACTAGAAAGCGGGGTTTGGGATCTGGATTAGGAAAAAAAAAAAAAAAAAAAAAAGGTCATACTGTATCAGTAGCAAACTATTACGTAGCACTCATCATGTGTCACACAGTTATACATCATCATCTCCCCAGTTTACAGATGGAAGAAGAAACAGAGTCACGGAAGTAACCGGTGTTCCAGGGAAATTAACTCTAGAATCTGTGTTCTCAACACAACATGCAGTCCGAGCCCCTCCCACCTCAGTGGTACAGTCCTCAGCCTCAAAACCTGTAAATACTATACTTGGCCGGGCGCGTGGTTCATGCCTGTAACCCCATCACTTAGGGAGGCCGAGGCAGGCGGATCGCTTAAGCTGAGGAGTTTGAGACTAGCCTGGGAAACATAGCGAGACCCCGTCTCTACAAAAATTAAAATTTAGCCGGGCGTGGTGGAATGCGCCTGTGATACCAACCACTCGGATGGTTTAGGTGGGAGGATCACCTGAGCCCGGGAGATCGAGGTCGTGATCGCACCATTGCACTCCATCCAGCCTAGGCGACAGAGCGAGACCCTGTCTCAAAAAGCTATATATATTTGTTTTTTCTTTACTTTTTTTAGTTCGACCCCTCCTCTCTGGGGCTTTGGTTATTTTCTCTTCTGGGCCCCACCCATCCAGGATTCAAGCACACAGCTCCAGACCCGTCTAATTTTCGCAGACCTGGCATGGCCTGGAGTTCCGACCCCACCTAGTCATATTTGAATAATTCCCAGTTGCTTTAGCCCCGCCCATGTTTGAGCTCCTACACGTGCTTCAAAAGTTTCTGAATCGTTTCTTTCGGCTCCCTTTCTCGCTCCCTCTGCAAATCTAGGCTCCTACCCTACCTCCGAGTATTAGAATCTTTCCACCCCCTCCTCAATGGCACCCTTAGCTCCGCCCCAACCCACTCAGGGATCCACTCTCCCATCCTCTCTGCCAAGGCTCCTTTACCATCCTCTCCCAGGTGCCTCGTCCGACTCCAGGCCTCCGCCCCTCTTTCCCTAAAGGCTGCGCCCTCCGCGGTCTAGGCCCCGCCCTTCAGGCCTCTTTTCACTCCTTCCTGATCCCGTAGCCCACCATCGTGGCTCCGCCCCTTTAGTAAGTAGGCCACGCCCCTCCGCGGGCTCCTCGGCGTTTGCCCGCCCTCTGGCCACGCCCCCAGCCGCGCGCTGCAGTGCCTTCCCCACCGCGGCCCCGCCCGCCCCCGCCGAGCCGAGCACAGGGCGGCGGCGGCGGCGGCGGCGGCGGCGGCGGCGGCGGCGGCGGCTGGAGCGGCCCGGCAGGAGGAGGCGGCGAGGATGGCAACGGCGTCGTGGGCGCGGCGGAGATGAGCGCCTGCGACCCCGGGCCCAGGGCGGCGCAGCCGGAGTGGGCTGGGGTCCCGATGCAGGCCCGAGGGGGGCCATGGGGCAGGTCCTGCCGGTCTTCGCCCACTGCAGTGAGTAGAGGGAGGCTCGGGCCTGGTGTGGGCCCCAGAGGTCTAGGTGGGGTACTCCCTGGTGTCCCCTCGGCGCTTGCCTGCGGGAGAGCCGGGACTGGGGGGAGGAGGCAAAGGAGACAAAGGAAGCTCTCCCCTCCCCCCGCCCCCCCGCTCTGGCGGTGACGGGGGCAGCCTGACCAGGAGGACCTGGACGAAACAGAGCGGAAGTGGGGGGCGCTGAGAAGGCGGGCGGGGGGCGCGCTGCGCTCTGGGACGTACCGCCCGGCCCCGCCCGGGAACGAGGACGTGCGCGGGGAGCTGTCCCTTGGCTCTGGTGCTGGCCGCAGCTGGCGGGGAGGGATTGAACGGAGGGTAAAGCCAGGATGGAAAAGCGGGGTCTGACTCCCCATCGCTCGTCTTCTCATCCCACCCTCGTTTTCGGCCCAAGAGGCAGCCCCGACCTCGCCCAAACTGTCCAACCGCCTGTCCCGGGAAAAGAGCCATCGGTGGGTTGGGGGCAAGGACTGATGGGTCCTTAGCAGGGTTTACCACTGGTTGATGGTAATCCTGGGGAGACTGGCACCACTCCAGGCCTCCCATTCCCCAGCTGAGGAAACGAGGTGAGGGCACAGGGCGTCAGGTTTCAATTTCCAAACCGCATTGAGCATCATCTATGTGCAAAGCGCTGAACTAGCTCTAAGGGGCTGGATTCCCAGCTGAAAACGCCTGGCCTGATCCTCACAATCTCTGAGCTCACAGCTCTAACAGTTCATGTCTACCGTTCTCTGTCCCACACATGGGGGTTCTGACAGCTGGGGATTTCAACACCCTTAGATCTAGCCCTTCCATGTCTTGGGTGTCCAGATGCCAAAATTCTAAGAATTGGTGATTTCAGCATTTTCGAGTAACATGCTCAGATCTTGTCCTTACTTCGGCTTACAAAGGGAGGACCATCTCATCTGTCTCCACCCCTCTTACCTCTCTGCCCTCACCTCCCACCCCTCTCCTCCTCATTCACTCCTCTCCAATCACATCTTCACACCTCTCTGTTCCTCAAAGATGCCAAGCATGATGCCTGATTCAGGGCCTTTGCATTGGCTTCCTTCTCTACCTGGAAGACTTCCCTGAACATCTGCAGGGCTTCCTGACTTCCTTCAGATCTCTGCTCAAACGTTGTCTTATCAGAGAAGCCTTCCTGACCACCCTATGAGAAACAGCACCGCTTCACTTTCTTCACTTTATCTCCCCCTACCTTTCTTTACTTTGCACCGTAGGCTCATCTGCACCTGACATCATATATTCACTTGTTTATTGTCTGTCTCTCCCAAAGAGTGTCAGCTCTAGGAGGGCAGGGATTTTGTCTGTTTTGTTCACAGCTGTTTCTCCAGGACCTAGAACAGTGCCTGGCACATAGTGGTGCTCAATAAATGGTTGTTGAACGAATGAGTGAATTGAAACCTCCTAAGATTTCTACTTTGAAGACTAAGATTCTCGGATTTGGACTTCTGAGACTCTGAGCTTCATCAGGCAGTGATGCTAGGTTTTACAGTCTGTGTGCAGAATGTTCTAAAAGTCCCGTGATTCAAATATTCTAAGATTCCAGGACTGGCACACTTCTGTGATTCGGACAGTCTAAGCTTCTAAGAGTCTTCGATTCTTTCCCTCTCGCAGAAGAAGCTCCGTCTACAGCCTCATCAACCCCTGATTCCACAGAAGGTAAGTGGGGGAGACCATGTGAAGGGATTCAGGGGTGGGCAGCTCAGGGGCCTGCTGAGAGAAACAAGGTTCTCTCTCACCTGCTGCAGGAGGGAACGACGACTCCGATTTTCGGGAGCTGCACACAGCCCGGGAATTCTCAGAGGACGACGAGGAGGAGACGACGTCGCAGGACTGGGGCACCCCCCGGGAGCTGACCTTCTCCTACATCGCCTTCGATGGCGTAGTGGGTTCTGGAGGTCGCAGGGATTCAACTGCCCGCCGCCCCCGTCCCCAGGGCCGCTCAGTCTCGGAACCACGAGACCAGCACCCTCAGCCCAGCCTGGGCGACAGCTTGGAGAGCATCCCCAGCCTGAGCCAATCCCCGGAGCCTGGACGTCGGGGTGACCCTGACACCGCCCCTCCATCCGAGCGCCCTCTGGAAGACCTGAGGCTTCGGTTGGACCAGCTGGGCTGGGTGGCAGCCCGGGGAGTGGGATCCGGGGAGGACTCTTCCACCAGCAGCTCTACCCCGCTGGAAGACGAAGAACCCGAAGAACCTGACGGATTGGAGGCGGGAAAAGCTGGGGAAGGTGAGATGTCCAAGGTGCTGGGACTGAAGTCAAGAGGGGTGGGTGGTTTCTTCTCAGGGCACCTCCAAGAAGAAAGCTCACAACCTTGTCTTTCTACCGTGCCAGAACGGGACCTACGACTCCGACTTGCTCAGCCGTCACCGCCCGAGGTCTTGAATCCCCAGCTCAGTCCAGGCTCTGGGACACCCCAGGCAGGAACTCCATCCCCATCCCGATCGCGAGATTCGAACTCTGGGCCTGAAGAGCCGTTGCTGGAAGAGGAAGAAAAGCAGCGGGGACCACTAGAGCGAGAGCCAGTGGGACAGTGTCTCGATTGCACGGACCAATCAGAATTCACGGTAGAGCCACGCCTTCTAGGTAAGCAACATGTAGGAAGATGCTACATTGGACCACAGGAGGCAAAGGGTTAGAGGGTTTTGAATTAAAGGGACAAATCTCGCAAGGAACAGCAGATAGTGGAGAAGGGAGGAGGTATTGCTATTGGCTAGATGTGATAAACTCTGCCCTTTTAAAAAATTTCCCCGGTCAGGCAAGTTGGCTCACTCCTGTAATCCCAGCATTTTAGGAGCCCGAGGCAAGCGGATCACTTGAGATCAGGAGTTTGGGATCAGCCTGGCCAACATGGTGAAATCCCGTCTCTATTCGGGAGGCTGAGGCAGGAGAATCGCTTGAACCAGGAAGGTGGAGGTTGCAGTGAGCCAAGATCATGCCACTGCACTCCAGCCTGAGTGACAGAGTGAGACACCTTTTCAAAAAATAAAAATAAAACAATTCTCCCTCTTCTGGAGTGCTCCTCCTAGTGGCTGATTTTGGACAGGCCCAATCCCTGAAGAAATACAGTTCTCTCCTTATTTAGATGTGACTGTAAAATATTTATAACTAAACTGTGTGCTTTAAAAAAACTCTTCTTTTTGGCCGGGCACAGTGGCTAATGCCTGTAATCCTAATACTTTGGGAAGCCGAGGCGGGAGGATCCCCTGAAGCCAGGAATGTAAGACCAGCCTGGGCAACACAGGGAGGCTCCACCTCTATTTGAAAAAAGAAAACAGCCGGGCGCGGTGGCTCATGCCTGTGATCCCAGCACTTTGGGAGGCTGAGGCGGGTGGATCACCTGAGATCAGGAGTTCGAGACCAGCCTGACCAACATGGAGAAACCCTGTCTCCACTAAAAATACAAAATTAGGCCGGGCGCGGTGGCTCAAGCCTGTAATCCCAGCACTTTGGGAGGCCGAGGCGGGTGGATCACGAGGTCAAGAGATTGAGACCATCCTGGTCAACATGGTGAAACCAAGTCTCTACTAAAAATACTAAAAATTAGCTGGGCATGGTGGCGTGTGCCTGTAATCCCAGCCACTCAGGAGGCTGAGGCAGGAGAATTGCCTGAACCCAGGAGGCGGAGGTTGCGGTGAGCCGAGATGGCGCCATTGCACTCCAGCCTGGGTAACAAGAGCGAAACTCCGTCTCAAAAAAAAAAAAAAAAAATTAGCCCGGTGTGGTGGCGCATGTCTGTAATCCCAGCTACTCGGGAGGCTGAGGCAGGAGAATCGCATGAACCCAGGAGGCAGAGGTTGCGGTGAGCCGAGATCATGCCACTGCACTCCAGCCTGGGTAACAAGAGTAAAACTCCATCTCAAAAACAAACAGAAACCCTCTTTCTTCTGACCACATCTATTAGCCAGTTGTAAAATGACCCAGCCTTACTTTAAAATACGCTCCGCCTCCAGGAACAGCTAGGGAGTGGGTAAAGATACCATTGCTTTTGGCTGTTTACAAGACGGTTCCATTTTTGGAATTGTCCCCACCTCTATGGACAGCCATTGGCTGAGTCCAAAGGGGCCCCGCCTCCCTTCTCCTGTCCTCCGGGTTCTACTGAAGTGGGCAAAATCCCTGAGAAGCAGCGGTGTCCCCAGCCTCTCACTTGGAGCCGAGATGGGGAGTAAAGGTGGGCTTGCGGGACGGGCTGGACGGGGGCTGAGGTCGGTGGAACGCGGTCCAGACTCACCCTTAGCTCCCGCACATCGGGGACATGTTTATTACTGGTCTGATTCCCCAGTGCTGCAGGCTGGGGCTAGGGGGCCGAGGGGCAGTCTAGGGAGGACCTGGAGGAAGCCTGGGGTCCCTTCTCCTCCGAGCCAGCACTTTGGGGCCCAGGAGCAGGGAGGTCCCCCTCCCCCAGCCTCGAGCCCAGGCAGTGCTGTCACTCAGCGGCCGGACGGGCCGGAACAGCTGCGGGGAGGCCCCCTCCCCCCAGCGTGCCTAAACTTAGCCCCCGCCTCAGGCGACCTGGCCCCTCCCCCGCTCATTTGCGCCGGCCACTAGGAGCCTGCCTGGGGGTCCCCTGCATTGGGAGGAAGGGGGGCTGCCCTATTTAGAGGTAAATGAAAGTAGATGCATTGGAAGGATATGGAAGTGAGGGATGAGCTTCTAACAGGGACTGGTCGGAGGGGTCAGCCGGATCCGAGGGAGGGTGGGAGGATAGAGGGGATCTGCAAAGAAATAGAAAGGTACCGAGCTCCTGCTTTTCAGGGCTCAACTGAAAGCAGACTACTAAAGTTCCTTTTTATTTTATTTATTTATTTATTTATTTTTTGAGACGGAGTTTCGCTCTTGTTACCCAGGCTGGAGTGCAATGGCGCGATCTCGGCTCACCGCAACCTCCGTCTCCTGGGTTCAGGCAATTCTCCTGCCTCAGCCTCCTGAGTAGCTGGGATTACAGGCACGCGCCACCATGCCCAGCTAATTTTTTGTATTTTTAGTAGAGACGGGGTTTCACCATGTTGACCAGGATGGTCTTGATCTCTCGACCTCGTGATCCACCCGCCTCGGCCTCCCAAAGTGCTGGGATTACAGGCTTGAGCCACCGCGCCCGGCAAGTTCCTTTTTATTTTTAAGCGACGAAGCCTCCCTCTGTCGTCTAAGCCGTAGTGCCGTGGCGGGATCATAGCTCATTGCAACCTGGAACTTCTGGGCTCAAGTGACTCTCCCGCCTCAGCCTCCCAAGTAATTGGGACTACTTGGTGCAGGCCACCACGCTCTGCTAATTTTCTTATTTTATTTTATTTTTTTAGAGACGAAGTCTCATGCCCAGGCTGGTCTGGAACGCCTGGCCTCCGGTCATCCTCCCACTTCGGCCTCCCAAAGTGTTGGGATTACAGGTGTGAGCCTGTAATGGGATGAGATGAAAGTTGGGGTACAAAGATCACTGGTCAGGGCTCAGGCTGGGTTTAGGAGATGTGTTTAAGGGTCTCAGAAAGGGGTTAGAAATTTGAGTTAGGGCCTGGAAAGGAGTATGGTGTTTTTAATACATTGAAGACTTAGAAACACGTGTTGCTAAGGGTATCGAGGGGATATCACTTTACACCTGAAAGACTGGCAAACGTTAAAAAGAATAACCCATTCCAGGGCAGGGTGCTGGGAAAATACCTTTTTAAATTTTCTTTTAAGACAGTGTTTTGGCCGGGCGCGGTGGCTCAAGCCTGTAATCCCAGCACTTTGGGAGGCCGAGGCGGGTGGATCACAAGGTCGAGAGATCGAGACCAACCTGGTCAACATGGTGAAACCCCGTCTCTACTAAAAATACAAAAAATTAGCTGGGCATGGTGGCGCGTGCCTGTAATCCCAGCTACTCAGGAGGCTGAGGCAGGAGAATTGCCTGAACCCAGGAGGCAGAGGTTGCGGTGAGCCGAGATCGCGCCATTGCACTCCAGCCTGGGTGACAAGAGCAAAACTCCGTCTCAAAAAAAAAAAAAAGACAGTGTTTTGCTCTTGTTGCCCAGGCTGGAGTACAATGGCACAATCTCGGCTCACCGCAGCCTCTGCCTCCTGGGTTCAAGACATTCGGCTGCCTCAGCCTCCCAAATAGCTGGAATTACAGACATGTGCCACCACACCCAGCTCATTTTTGTATTTTTAGTAGAGACAGGGTTTCTGCATGTTGGTCGGGCTGGTCTCGAACTCCTGACCTCAGGTGACTGGCCGCCCTCAGCCTCCGAGATGCTGGAATTACAGGCCTGAGCCAACATGGCCGGTTTTTTTTTGTTGTTGTTTTTGTTTTTTTAAGAGGGAGTCTTGCTCTGTTGCCCAGGCTGGAGTGCAGTGGCGCAATCTTGTCTCACTGCAACCTCCGCCTCCCAGGATCAAGGAATTCTCCTGCCTTAGTCTGCTGAGTAGCTGGAACTATAGGCACCTGCCACCATGCTTGGCTTTTTTTTTTTTTTTTTTGTATTTTAGTAGAGATGGGGTTTCACCATATTGGCCAGGCTGGTCTTGAACTCCTGACCTTGTGATCTGCCCGCCTCGGCCTCCCAAAATGCTGGGATCATAGGTGGGAGCCACTGTGCCTGGCCGGAAAAAGATCTTTCTCTTGCTTCTTGTGGAAATAAGAACTGTTATGATCTCACTAGTTAGCAGTGTTTCTTTTTTTTTTTTTTTTTTTTTGAGACGGAGTTTCGCTCTTGTTACCCAGGCTGGAGTGCAATGGCGCGATCTCGGCTCACTGCAACCTCCGCCTCCTGGGCTCAGGCAATTCTCCTGCCTCAGCCTCCTGAGTAGCTGGGATTACAGGCACGCGCCACCACGCCCAGCTAGTTTTTTTGTATTTTTAGTAGAGACGGGGTTTCACCATGTTGACCAGGATGGTCTCGATCTTTCGACCTCGTGATCCACCCGCCTCGGCCTCCCAAAGTGCTGGGATTACAGGCTTGAGCCACCGCGCTCGGCCAGCAGTGTTTCAAAACATACGACATTTAAAAATACATCTGAGCAGACACGGTGGCTCATGCCTGTCATCCCAACACTTCGGGAGGCTGAGGCAAAGGATCCCTCGAAGCCAGGAATTCAACCTGAGCAACATAGGGAGACGCTCTCTCTACAGAATATTTTAAAATTAGTCTGTCCAGGCATGGTGGCTAATGCCTGTAATCCCAGCTACTTGGGAGGCTGAGGCATGAGAATCTCTTGAACTGGGAAGGCAGAGGTTGCAGTGAGCTGAGATTGTACCACTGCACTCCAGTCTGGGTGACAGAGGAAGACTGTCCCCTCCTCAAAAAAAAAAATTAGCCAGATATCGTGGTACCACCTGTAGTCCCAGCTGCTAGGAGGCTGAGGTGGGAGGACTGTCTGAGTCTGGGAGGTGGAGGCTGCAGTGAGCCATGATCATGCCACTGCACTCCAGCCAGGGTGACAGAGTGAGACCCTGTCTCTAAAACTAAAAAAATATGGCCGGGAGCAGTGGTTTATGCCTGTAATCCCAGCACTTTGGGAGGCCAAGGTGGGCAGATCACAAGCTCAGGAGATAGAGACCATACCGGCTAACACAGTGAAATCCCATGTCTACTAAAAATACAAAAAATTAGCCAGGCGTGGTGGCACCTGCCTGTAATCCCAGCTACTCCGGAATCTGAGGCAGGAGAATTGCTTGAACCTAGGAGGTGGAAGTTGCGGTGAGCTGAGATCACACCATTGCACTCCAGTCTGGGTAACAAGAGCGAAACTCTGTCTCATAAATAAATAAATAAAATACAAGGCTGGGGGCAGTGGCTCACGCCTGTAATCCTAGCACTTAGGGAGGCCCAGGTGGGCAGGTAACCAGATCCGGAGATCAAGACCATCCTAGCTAACACAGTGAAACCTTGTCTCTACTAAAAATACAAAAAATTAGCCAGGTGTGGTAGCAGGCACCTGTAGTCCCAGCTACTCGGAAGGTTGAGACCGGAAAATCGCTTGAACGTGGGCCGAGATTGCACCACTGCACTCCAGCCTGGGTGACAGAGCAAGATTCTGTCTCAAAAAAAAAAAAAAAAAAAAGAATGAATTAAGGCCAGGCCTGGTGGCGCATGTCTGTAATCCCTGCACTTTTGGAGGCTAAGGCAGGTGGGTGGATTGCTTGAGGCCAGGTGTTTGAAACCAACTTGGCAAACATGGCAAAACCCCATCTCTACTAAAAATTAAAAAATTAGCTAGGTGCAGTGGCATGCTCCTCAGGAGGCTGAGGTGGGAGGATAGCTTGGACCCAGGAGGCTGAGGTTGCAGTGAACCAAGATCACACCATGGCCCCTCAGCCTGGGCAACAGAGTGAGACTCTCTCTAAAAAAAAAAATAGGAATGAATGAATGAAGAGGTAATTGGGGATGGTGGCTCACACTGGTAATCCCAGTGCTTTGGGAGCCCAAAGGTGGACAATGGCTTGAATGCAGGAGTTCAAGCCTGCAGTGAATTATGATCACGCCACTGCATCCAGCCTGGGCAACAGAGCGAGACCCCATCTTTGTTAAAAAAAAGGGGGAGAGGGAGCTATTTCAGTTGATTAGGAGGAAAAGTAAAGTGAAGTATGCATGATGCAGAAAAGTGTGTGTACAATTCCATTTTTCATTCTTTTTTTTGAGACAAAGTCTCACTCTGTCGCCTAGGCTGGAGTGCAGTGGCATGATCTAGGCTCACTGCAACCTCCACTTCCCAGGTTCAAGTGATTCTTCTGCCTCAGCCTCTCGAGTAGCTGGGAATACAGGCGCGCGCCACCATGCCTGGCTCCTTTTTGTATTTTTAGCAGACACGGGGTTTCACCATGTTGGCCAGGCTAGTCTTGAACTCCTGACCTCAGGTGATCTGCCTGCCTCGGCCTCCCACAGTGCTGGGATTACAGGTCTGAGCCAGCACCTACCAGCATTATTCTGTTTTTCGTAAGAAATGACCAAGATGTTATCAGTTTGTATTTCTGTGTCCACACATAACTCTATGGTGAGGAGTAAGGTTAGGGGACTTGCCAGACGGTTAACTTGGGTTTTCTAGGGAAAGAAAAAGGGAGGTAAGCATGGAAAAAGAGAGGCCACTAAAAATTTGAAAATCAGACTGGGTGCTGTGCCTCACGGCTATAATCCCAGCACTTTGGAAGTCTGATACAGGAGGATAACTTGAGGCCAGGAGTCTGAGACCAGCCTGGGCAACCCAGAGAGACCCTCACCTCTAAAGACAAAACAAAAACAAAAATTAGCTGAGCGTGGTGGCGCACACCTGTAGTCCCAGCTGTTGAGGAGGCTGAGGTGGGAGGATCACTTGAGTCCAGGAGGTCAAGGCTGCAGTGAGCTATGATTGCACCACTGCACTCCAACCTGGGTGACAGAGTGAGACCCTGTATCTCAAAAAAAAAAAAAAAAGAAAGAAAGAAAAAGAAAAAGAAAAAGCTAGGCACAGTGGCTCACGTCTGTAATCCCAGCACTTTGGGAGGCTGAGGCAGGTGGATCACAAGGTCAGGAGTTCAAGACCAGCCTGGTCAAGATGGTGAAACCCCATCTCTACTAAAAAAAAAAACACACACACACACAAAATGAGCCGGGCATGGTGGCAGGCACCTGTAATCCCAGCTACTAGGGAGGCTGGGGCAGGAGAATCACTTGAACCCGGGGGTGGAGGTTGCAGTGAGCCGAGATCACGCCACTGCACTCCAGCCTGGGTGACAGAGTGAGACTCCATGTCGGGAAAAAAAAAAAGAAATCAGGTTATGCTCAAACAGGTGTGTTGAGAAGTCATTTTCAGCTGTAGGACAGGGAAAAAGACGTGAAGAGACCAGCTAGGTCAGGTCCAAGCCCTGATGCCCCCGGCCCCTCCACAGTGGCGGACCTGCTGTACTGGAAGGACACAAGGACATCAGGCGTGGTCTTCACAGGCCTCATGGTCTCCCTCCTCTGCCTCCTGCACTTCAGCATCGTGTCTGTGGCCGCGCACGTGGCTCTGCTGCTGCTCTGTGGCACCATCTCTCTCAGGCTTTACCGCAAAGTGCTGCAGGCCGTGCACCGGGGGGATGGAGCCAACCCTTTCCAGTGAGAACCCCTGGCCCCTGCCCTGAGCCCCTGACCCCAGGACCCCCGACCCTAGAGCATGACCCATGACCTCGGATCAGGCACTGCCTCCCACCCGGACCCTGACCCATCTTGATTGTTCTTCATCCCAGTCCTCGAACCTGCCCTCCAATCCTAATCTGATCCGAACCTGGGGCCCTTCATCCTGCATCCCTGACCCTGACCCTGACCCTGACCTCAGCCCTCCGCATGTGATTCGTTTGAGTTGCCCCTCAGTCCTAACTCTGTTCTCCCCACCCCAACTCCTTGCCCTTGTGTCAGCCACCCCTGCACCAATCGGAGCCGGTCACCCACTGAGTCACCCCACACTCCACACTCCTTTGTCCCCGCAGGGCCTACCTGGATGTGGACCTAACCCTGACTCGGGAGCAGACGGAACGCTTGTCCCGGCAGATCACCTCCCGCGTGGTCTCGGCGGCCACGCAGCTGCGGCATTTCTTCCTGGTAGAAGACCTCGTGGATTCCCTCAAGGTGGCCTGGAGCTCCCAATCCCTCCTGGGTTCCCCCGCATTCACCTCTGCCCTGCTAGGGGGTGGGAGGGCGATGGCTGGGTAAATTCACAGCCTGGGAGGGAGTGCTCGGTGGGCGCTGCTGACCCTGACCTTCACCCCCAGCTGGCCCTCCTCTTCTACATCTTGACCTTCGTGGGTGCCATCTTCAATGGTCTGACTCTTCTCATTCTGGGTGAGCTGGGAAGGCCATGAGGGGCAAGGTGGGGAGTTGGAGTCTGGCGGGGGATGGGGCTCCTGATGGAACTGTTCATCTCTCGGGAGCACCCTGATGCCCCCCATCTCTGTGCCCACAGGAGTGATCGGTCTATTCACCGTCCCCCTGCTGTACCGGCAGCACCAGGTGAGTGTGGCACCCTCAGCTGTCAGCACCCCAGCTAAACATGGAGGTTCTGACTGTCTCCTTCCAGAACCAGGGTCTCACTGACAGATGTGCACACAGGTATCCTGACTTTGGCACCTTCCGATACAACGAGAGCCTAACTAACATGTCTCATCAGCATCAGCCAGGACAGGCTTATTATTATTATTATTTTTTTTTTGAGACAGGGTCTTGCTCTGTTGTCCAGGCTGGAGTGCAGTGGCACAATCTCGGCCCACTGCAACCTTCACATCCCGGGTTCAAGCGATTCTCCTGCCTCAGCCTCCCGAGTAGCTGTGACTACAGGCATGTGCCACTATGCCCAGCTAATTTTTGTATTTTGTTTTTAGTAGAGATGGGGTTTCACCATGTTGGTCAGGATGGTCTTTATCTCCTGACCTCCTGATCCACCCGCCTTGGATTCCCAAAGTGCTGGGATTACCGGCGTGAGCCACTGCGCCCGGCCTTTTTTTATTTTTATTTTGAGACAAAGTCTTTGTTACCCAGGCTGGAGTGCAGTGCCAGGATCTCACCTCACTACAACCTCCACCTCCTGGGCTCAAAAGAGTCTCCTGCCTCAACCTCCGAGTAGCTAGGATTACAGGCCAATGGCCACCATGCCCAGCTCATTTTTGTATTTTTAGCAGAGATGGGGTTTCACTACGTTGGCCAGGCTGGGCTCAAACTCCTGACCTCAAGTGATCCACCCGCCTCGGCCTCCTAAAGTGCTGGGATTAAAGGCATGAGCCACCGAGCCCGGGCTTCACTCTTTTTTTTTTTTTTTTTTTTTTGAGATGGAGTCTCGCTCTGTCGCTCAGGCTGGAGTGCAATGGCGAGATCTCAGCTTACTGCAACCTCTGCCTCTTGGGTTCAAGCGATTCTCCTGCCTTAGCTTCCCAAGTAGCTGGGATTACAGGCACATGCCACCACACCCGGCTAATTTTTTGTATTTTTCGTAGAGACAGGGTTTCACCGTGCTGGCCAGGCTGGTCTTGAACTCCCGAGCTCAGGCGATCTGCCTGCCTTTGGCCTCCCAAGGTGCTGGGATTAGGCCGTCACTCTTGATTTTAATTGACATGTCAGCTAAATGCCACTGCATTCCAGCATGGGTGACAGAGCAAGACTCTGTCTCAAAAAAAACCCCCCAAAAACAAAAAGTAATAATAATAAAATAAACTCAAGACTGCGATGGTTGTTGCCCAAAACACTGACGTAAGCAGGACCATCCTATCCAGAGACAGGTGGACGGACTGACAGCCCCTTCTCCAGCACAGCTGGGAGCCAGATGATAATGTGTCTTGGTCCTAACTCCATCCCTCACAGGCTGGAATCACCAAGACTCACAATTAAACTGTATTTAAATCAGGCCAGCCACAGTGGCTCACAACTGTAATCCCAGCACTTTGGGTGATTGAGACAGGAGGGTTGCTTGAAGCCGGGAATTCAAGACCAGACTGGGCAACATAGTGAGACCCCCATGTCTACAAAAAGGTTAAAAACTAGCCAGGCATGGTGGTACACACTTATAGTCCCAGCTACTCTGGCGGCTGAGGCAAGAAGATGACTTGAACCCTAGAAAGTGGAGGCTGCAGTCAGCTATGATCACGCCACTGCACTCCAGGCTGGGCAACAGAGCAAGACCCTATCTTTTTTTTTTTTTTTTTTTTTGAGAGGGAATCTCACTCTGTTGTTCAGGCTGCAGTGCAGTGGTGTGATCTTGGCTCACTGCAACCTCCGCCTCCTGGGTTCAAGTACTCTCCTGCCTCAACTGCCAGAGTAGCTTGGACAATAGGCCCGTGCCACCATGCCCAGATGATTTTTGTATTTTTTTTTTTTTTTTTTTTTTTGAGACGGAGTTTTGCTCGTTACCCAGGCTGGAGTGCAATGGCGGGGTCTCGGCTCACCGCAACCTCCGCCTCCTGGGCTCAGGCAATTCTCCTGCCTCAGCCTCCTAAGTAGCTGGGATTACAGGCACGCGCCACCACGCCCAGCTAGTTTTTTGTATTTTTAGTAGAGACGGGGTTTCACCATGTTGACCAGGATGGTCTCGATCTCTCGACCTCGTGATCCACCCGCCTCGGCCTCCCAAAGTGCTGGGATTACAGGCTTGAGCCACCGCACCCGGCGATTTTTGTATTTTTTAGTAGAGACAGTGTTTCACCATGTTGGCCAGGCTGGTCTTGATCTCCTGACCTCATGATCCGCCTGCCTGGTCGGCCTCTCAAAGTGCTGGGATTACAACCATGAGCCCCCAAGGCCAGCCTGCAAGGACCTATCTAAAAAAGAAAAAAAAAAAAAGGCTGAGTATCTTATGCCTGTAATCCCAGGACTTTGGGAGGCGGAGGCAGGTGGATCACTTGAGGTCAGGAGATCGAGACCAGCCTGGCCAACATGGTAAAACTTTTTTTTTCTGAGACAGAATCTCGCTATGTCGCTCAGGCTGGAGTGCAGTGGTGCAATCTTGTCTGTAATTAGCCTGGCATGTTGGCGCACACCTGTAATCCCAGCTATTCGGGAGGCTGAGACAGGAGAATTGCTTGAACCCGGGAAGCTGAGGTTGCAGTGAACCAAGATAGTGCCAGGCTGGGCGACAGAGCAAGACCCTGGACTCCAGGCTGGGCGACAGAGCAAGACACTGTCTTCAAAGAAATAAAAAAAAATAAAATAAATAAAAAATATACAAATCAATCCCACTCAGAGACTTGCCAGCCAATAGCAATTCGGCCTGTTCTTACCCTACCGCGCAATACACACACATGCAAACTCACTCAAAGATTAAGCACCGTGCCCAGGACACAGCCTCACTGCCAGATGCTTGTGCGTTCCACCTGACATCACTCTCCACACAGCCCAGCTGACTGACCCTACAACTGGCATCTCTGGCATCTAGTGTATTCCATGAAGTTTAGAGCCAAGGGTGGCGTGGTGGGCCACCCCTCACAACTCCTGATTTGGAGGTTGGGGAGGAAGCAGTCTCCTACGTGAGCTAGAGAAGAACCCCCTCCAATCCCTTCTTTCACTATATTTTGGTCTCTCCAGGCTCAGATTGACCAGTATGTGGGCTTGGTGACCAATCAGTTGAGCCACATCAAAGCTAAGTAAGAGCATGGGACGGAGGTGGATGGGAGGGGACGGTGGGGAGCTTGGGAGCCCTTCCTTTCTACTCTCGCTGTCCGCAAATCTTCTGGAGTAATGACCCCTTGAGAAGGCTGAGGAGGCAATTCCAATGCAAGCCACTAGGTGGCGAGCAGGAGCGGGCTTCGGACTTTCTGGCAGTTTCCCACCCAGCTTTCCCCGTAGTCCCCAGGTGCCCTTCCCACTTCTCTTGCCCCACCTCGTGATCCCACCTGTTTCTCCTTCAGGATCCGAGCTAAAATCCCAGGGACCGGAGCCCTGGCCTCTACAGCAGCCGCAGTCTCCGGATCCAAAGCCAAAGCCGAATGAGAACGGTGTCTCTGCCCGCGGGACGCCCGCCCCCACCCACAGCAGCCCTCTGCCCCCCCACCCCATCTCCGTCCGTTCCCACCCACTCCCCTCCTCGACCCGAGCCTTTTCCCGGTGGGTGTCAGGATCACTTCCACTAGGGAATCTGCGCTAATTGCCTGAGCGGCCAGGACTACATTTCCCAAGAGGCTCTTCTCCAGGAGTCCAGGAAAGACGAGGCACCTTGGCTGCGGGGCCTGCTGGGACTTGTAGTTGCCTAGACAGGGCACCGCCCTGCATTTCCGTGACCCGCCGCTGGAGGCGCCGTGAGGCGTTGGTGTCTCCTGGACGCCAGTAGCCCCAAGTCGGGGCTTTGCATGGGGCCCAGGGGAGGCCTGAGCTTGGATTTACACTGTAATAAAGACTCCTGTGGAAAACCCGAGGCCTCCTGTGCTTCCAGAGCCCTCCAGCTTTCACCTTGCTGCACTGAAATGCACTTAAATGACACTGCAGGAGAACCTTCCCTGTCTCTGGGGAGGAAGTTCCCTCTGCCATCTATGTAAGTCACGAAATGATTGTGGGGAGGCTGGGTGCAGTGGCTCATGCCTGTAATCCCACCACTTTGGGAGGCCAAGGAGGGCCGATCACTTGAGGCCAGAAGTTTGAGACTAGTCTGGCCAACATGGTGAAACCCCATCTCTGCTAAAAACAGAAAAAGTAGCTGGTGTGGTGGTGCACACCTGTAGCTACTCAGGAGGCTGAGGCATGAGAATTGCTTGAACCTGGGAGGTGGAGGTTGCAGTGAGCCAAGATTGCACCACTGCACTCCAGCCTGGGCAACAAAGCGAGACTCTGTCTCAACAAAAAAAGAAACGATTGAGGGGAAGGTGCTGACGGACCACCCCTTCCAAGGTTAGCCAAGCCTTGGCAGCCACTTGCCAAGCCCATGCTCAAGGCAGACATCACTGATGGATCCCACACCCTGCCTACTGTGTAGCCACCTCAGTTGAGCCCAAACCTATGTGTCCAATGACTTCTGGATGCCCCTTCCCCCCTAAATCTAACCAAACCTCTGCCTCATCCTACCTATTTCCAACTAAGAGGTGTCCTTACCACCCATGTTGTTACCAGGCCAGGCACCCAGGTAGGGCTCTGGACTTCCACACTCACCTCCCACAAATAATCAGTCATGATGCCGTGTCTGTTCTGCCTCCCAGTCCTCTCAGCCACCCACTTCTCTCCATCCTGATTGTCTCGGGAACAAATGCAGGGCCTCCCTGAACTTCCAGTTTCCAAACTGTAATCCAAGGCCTAGCATGATGGCTCACATCTGTAATCCCAACATTTTGCAAAGCAATGTGGAAGGATTGCTTGAGGCCAAAAGTTCGAGGCCACCCTGAGCAACATAGTGAGACCCGATTCTCTGCAAAAAATAAAAAATTAGCCAGGCATGAGCTACTCCAGAGGCTGAGACAGGAGAATTGCTAGAGCCTAGGAGTTCGAGGTTACAGAGAGCTGTGATCTGCCACTGCGCTTCAACCTGAATGAGAGAGAGACCCTGCCTCAAAAAAAAAAAAAAAATCTACAGGATTGGCATGGTGGCTCATACCTGTAATCCCAGCACTTAGGTTGGGAGGCCAAGGTGGGCAGATCACTGGGGTCAAGAGTTCCAGACCACCCTGACCAACATGATGAATCCCTGTCTGTACTAAAAATACAAAAATTAGCCAGGCATGGTGGCAGTCACCTGTAGTCCCAGCTACTCCGGAGGCTGAGGAAGGAGAATCACTTCAACCCGGGAGGCAGAAGTTGCAGTGAGCCAGGATCATGTGACAGGCCGACACTCCATCAAAAAAAGAAAAGAAATCTAAACCGGGAAAGGGGGAAGCAGAGGGACGCTTGGGGAGACTGGGAAGAGATGGAGGTCTAAAGATCCACAGACCTGGGTTTGAATCCTGGCCCCACCCCACCTTGGCTGTGTGACCTTGAGCACATGACTTGACCTCTCAAAGCCTGTTTCCTCTAATGGAAAACTGTCATTAGGCCAGGCACGGTGGTTCACACCTGCAGTCCCAGCACTTTGGAAGGCCGAAGTGGGAGAATCACTTAAGGCCACCAGCTCAAGACAAGCCTAGGCAACATAGCACAGCCTCATCTCTATAAAAATATTAAAAAAGAAAACTGTCAACGATAACTATACCCACAGGTAAAGTCCTTGGCATGGGGCCTGGCATATAATAAATGCAGAGTAAGCAGTTATAATATCATTTCCCAGCCGGGCCTGGTGGCTCACACCTGTAATCCCAGCACTCTGGGAGGCCAGTGCGGCCAGATCACGAGGTCAGGAGATCGAGACCATCCTGGCTGACATGGTGAAACCCCGTCTCTGCTAAAATACAAAAAGTTAGCCACCACGCCAGGCTAATTTTTTGTATTTTTAGTAGAGACGGGGTTTCACCATGTTAGCCAGGATGGTCTGGATCTCCTGAGCTCGTGACCCGCCCTCCTCTGCCTCCCAAAGTTCTGGGATTACAGACGTGAGCTACTGCACCCGGTGAAACAGCCTTATTTATTTATTATTGAGATGGAGTCTCTCTCTGTTGCCCAGGCTGGAGTGCAGTGGTGTAATCTCAGCTCACTGCAACCTCAACCTCCTGGGTTCAAGGGATTCTCCTCCCTCAGCCTCCCGAGTAGCTGGGATTACAGACATTTAAAATGTGCAAAAAAAAATGCCTGGCTAATTTTTGGATGTTTCCTTGTGATGGGGTTTCATCATGTTGACCAGGCTGGTCTTGAACTTCTGATCTCCAGTGATCCACCTACCTCGGCCTCCCAAAGTGCTGGGATTACAGGTGAGAGCCACCACGCCCAGCAGAAACAGCCTTTATTGAGCTCCTCCCAGTCGCCTCATCCAGTGTCAGATGTTTATATTATGATTTCTCCAGTGAGATCAGTTGTACTAGTCTGGTTATACAAATGAGGAAACTGAGACTCAAAGAAGTGAGGCCAGGTGCTGTGGCTCACACCTGTCACCCCAGCACTTTGGGAGGCCAAGGCGAGAGGATTGTTTGAGGCCAGGAGTTCGAGACCACACTGGACAGCAAAGTGAGGCCCCAGTTTCTACAAAAAAATTTAAAATTAGCTGAGGCAGGAGGATCACTTGAGTCCCGGAGGTCGAGGCTGCAGTGAACCATTTTCGTGCCACTGCATTCTGGCCTGGAGACAAAGTAAGATTCTGTCTGGAAGAAGAAGAAAGAAAAAGACAGTGATAATATTCCTTTATTCATTCCACAGACATTTACTGAATATCTGCTATGTTCTCAAGCACTTTTTAGGCACTAGGGATAGAGCAATGGTCAAAAACAAAAGTGCTTGGGAGGCTGAGGTGGGAGGATCACCTGAGGTCAGGAGTTCAAGACCAGCCTGGCCAACATGGTGAAACCTCGTCTCTACTAAACATAGAAAACTGAGCTGGGTTTTGGTGGTGGGTGCCTGTAGTCCCAGCTACTCGGGAGGCTGAGGCAGGAGAATCACTTGAACCTGGGAAACTGAGGTTGCAGTGAGCTGAGATCACGCCACTGCACTCCAGCCTGGATGACAGAGTGAGACTCGCATAGTTTCACGGCACTGATAGTCTAGCAGAAACAGACAGGCAATAAGCAAATAATAGACACAGAAAATGGCATGTGGTGATGAGAGTGTTGGGGACACGTCTAGCAGGTTAAGGGGATAAAAAATAGAGTGGCAGAGCTCACTTTTTTTTTTTTTGAGACCAAGTTTCGCTCTTGTCACCAAGGCTGGAGTGCAATGGTGTGATCTTGGCTCAATGCAACCTCCGCCTCCCGGGTTCAAGCGATTCTCCTGCCTCAAGCTCCTGAGTAGCTGGGGTTACAGGCATGAAACACCACTCCTGACTAATTTTTGTACACTTGGTAAGGACCGGGTTTCACCACATTGGCCTGGCTGGTTTCGAACTCCTGACCTCAGTTAATTCGCCCGTCTTGACCTCCCAAAGTGCTGGGATTACAGGCATGAGTCACCTTGCCCGACCACTCGCTATTTTAAACTGGGTCGTCAGGGAAGGCCACACTGAGTGCCGATATTTGATCAGATGACAGAGTGAAGGGAGGCGGTGAGCCATGGAAACATGTGAAGAGGAGGAGATCCAGGCTAAGGGATCAGCAAGCCCGAAGTCTCTGTGGAGGTAGCATGTTCGATGTGTGCAGCAAGATGTCTGTATGCCGGCAGCCATGTGAGGGAAGAGGAGTATGTGAGACAGGATCAGAGGAGTCATAGGGGCTGGGTTACAGGGATTTGTCAAACAGGGTGAGAACTTTGACGTTTACTCTGAAATGGAAGTCATGGGAGAGTTTCACGCAGGAGAATGGTATTGTTGCCGAAGAATCACTGACTTAGAATTATTGAAGAATTTTTCGTGGTGAGTACACTAAAAGCCCAGATTTCACCACGATGCAATCAACACATGCATGTAGAAATCGGCACCTGTACCTCCTAAACATAAAAATGTAAGAAAAAAGAATCACCTTTTTTGTCATAAAAATTGTAACACAAGTTCGAGTTCCCTAAGCGGATGAGCTGTTTTAACTGGGATATGGTACTATCCGTTTCTGAGCCTGTTTCCCTAACCATAAAACGCAGGTGCAGAAATGGATTATGTCTAGTGTTTAAACTCAATCGGGGTAGGATGTCTGTTATCACCAGCACGAAGGACGGTCCTTGGAACTCCGTAGACGCTCAATAAACGTTTGAATGAACGCGGAGCTCTATCGAGCCACGCAATTCCACAAAGGAACAGCAGGTGTCGCACCAGCCCTATAGCCACCTGCCCAGCGCCTTCGGGGCCAGGGTGAATCAGACTCTAACAGGAACCCACTCACTCCTCCGCAGAAGGAGAATTCGGAATTTTCCGAGAAGGCGATTCTGAATGCCGAATCATGAATCTCTCCTCTTAAAAAGCTGACTTTTCTATTTGGAAAAAGGGGGTCCTGGGCCCTTTAACAGCTTGCCAGGTGCTCAGGCGCTGCTTCCCAGAATGCGTGGCGCTATGTAAATGAGACTGTTTTGTGGGGTTTTGTGAGAGAGGATGATTCATGCTATGCGAAGCGAAGGCAACATTTTATAAGGACATCCGTCACGATAAATGAGTGGGGAGAATTTATAACCCTTGAAGCCAACCAGCGCTCACTTCCCCAAAGGATGCAACCGTAACTCAAAAAGGTAAGCATTTATGATCCTTATATAGCTTCTCGGGAAACGCAGATTTTCGCCCGGATGAGCCTCAGTGGTCTGGGGTGCAGGCTTCAAACCTGTAGCTGTCTAGCGACAGAGTGGTTCAATTCCACCTTTCGGGCGACCGCCACGAGCTTTTTAGCTGCGCCGTCGTTTTCAAACCGGACTTTGTTTTACTGATTGCTCGGGACGCGCTTCACCAGCCTGCACCTGGAGAGGTCGCTGCGGCCCTCCTCATCACAAACTCTTTTCTCTGCCTCTCCGATCTCTTGACTATCGCTACTTATTTCCCCCTCCGGAGTATTCAAAAACCGCTCCAAAAGATGGAGAAAAACTCGTCGACACAGATCTGGGATATTGGCAGTTTGGAAATTACCCTGGATTTCTCCCTTTCAGTTGCTTACTCATTCAGTCATTTGCTCACTCGTTTATTTAATCACGCATGCATTTATTAATCAAATACTTGCTCATTTGTTCATCTGTCAGTCACTCATCAGACAAGCATTTGCTGAGGACACAGCGGTGGTGACAGCTCTGGCCTTGGTCTCCTGGTGCACTCACCCAGTGAGAGAGAGAAACATTAAGCCATCACGTAATTACACATTTAATTAACAACTACAAAGGGGATAAGGACTGCAAGGGAAACAGAACAGTGAGGCCCTCTCATAAGGAGAACCCAGCTCATAAGGTGTCACGGGAACGTTAGAACAGACACTTAAAGGATGAGAGGGAAAGTATTATGGGATATCGAGGGATCAGGGTGACCCCAATCAAGATGATGCGGGTAATGATAGTTGCACCTTCACTCTGCACTTAGCGCAGGCAGGCACAAGCCTTGCAACTCCTCAAAACAGCCCCATCATAACAGCCCCATTCTACAGATGAGGAAATGGAGGCTTAGGGAGATGAAGTCTCTTGTCCAAGGCAACCCAGTCTTTTTTCTTTTCTGTGTCTGTTTTTGTTTGTTTGTTGGTTTGTTTTTACTTTAAAAACTGAAGCCAGGTGCAGTGGCTCATGCCTGTAATCCCAACACTTTGGGAGGCCGAGGAGGGTGGATCACAAGGTCAGAAGATTGAGACCATCCTGACCAACATGGTGAAACCCTGTCTCTACTAAAAATACAAAAATTAGCTGAGTGTGGTGGTGTGGGTCTGTGATCCCAGACACTCAGGAGGCTGAGGCAGGAGAATCTCTTGAACCTGGGAGATGGAGGTTGCAATGAGCCAAGATCATGCCACTGCACTCCAGCCTGGGCAACAGAGCAAGACTCTTTCTCAAACAAAAACAAAAGCAAAAAGAAACCAAAAAATTGCTCCTTGTAGTAACTCATAGGCAGTGTTTTTTTTTTTTTTTTTTTTTTTTTTTTGTTTTGTGAGGGGGTAGGGGGCGGGCAGGGTCTTGTTCTGTCACCCAAGGTGAAGTGAAGTGATAGGATCATGGCTCACTGCAGCGTCGAACTCCCTGGCTGGAGCAATCCTCCCACCTCAGCCTCCTGAGTAGCTGGGACCACAGGCATGCCACGACTCCCAGTCTCACTCAGACCACTTGGCCCATGCGATTTATTACTGCTTTGTATTTTCCTTCCCAAGTCTGCTGCTCACCAAGCCCCAACTGTCTTGCCTCTTCAATGTCTGCTGAATCCGTCCCCTCCTCTCTGTCCCATGTCCCTGGCCCTGTTCTAGACCCTTGCTCACCCCTTTCCCCTCGGGGTCCCCACCCCACTTCCTCCCTGGTCTCCTGCTCAGTCTCACTCCTCTCCCTTCCAGTCACCCTGCAGTCACCCTCAGTCTGGGACCAGAGGGGTCTTTCCTAAATCACAAACCTGCTTCTGCCTCTCTCATGTTCAAAACCAGCCGTGGCTCCCCAGTGCTCTGAAGAGAAGTCTAAACTTAGCCGGGAATGTCATCATAATACTTGCAGAATCTGTTCTCTACTAACCCCTCTTTCAACATCTGTGGCTCCAGTCCTCATGCCTCATGAACCTTAAGTTTTCTCTTTTTTTTTTTTTTTTTTTTTTGAGATGGAGTCTTACTTTGTTGCCCAGGCTGGAGTGGAGTGGCACTATCTTGGATCACTGCAATATCAGCCTTCTGTGTTCAAGCGATTCTCCTGCCTCAGCCTTCTGAGTAGCTGGGATCACAGGTGCCTGCCACCAAGCCTGGCTAATTTTTTGTATTTTTTAGTAGAGACAGGGTTTCACTGTGTTGGCTAGGTTGGTCTTGAACGTCTGACGTCAGATGATCCACCCGCCTTGGCCTCCCAAAGTGCTGGGATTACAGGAGTGAGCCACCGCACCCAGCCCTCTAAGTGTTCTTAATGTATCAAGCCTTCTCCCCACGAACAGATCTTTGCCTGTGCTATTTTCTTGGTCTCAGCCTGTTTCTAGTTCTTTCTATACTCTCTGTTTATCCTCTAGGACTCAGCTCAGCTGGCCCCTTTTCCAGAAAGCTTTTCCCGACTCCCAGTCCAAGCTAGGTGTGTCCCTGCTCTGCTTCCCTAGCCCCGTGGGCTCCCCCAACCCCATCCACTTTATGTTGTCCCTGACTGGAATGGGGTGCGTGTCCCCCAGTGGACTGTGAGCCCCAGGAGGGCAGAACCTGATGCTCAGTCCCTGCAGTGCCTCCAACACTGCCCGGCATAGTTGGGTAGGTGCCTAGCACATTTTTTTTGAACGCATTAATAAATAGAATTCCATCATGACAGCCGCCCTTGCTTATTCATTTACCAACGTGTCTGAGCAACCGCTGTACCCTCCACCTCAATTCGCAGAGGACTTGCTGTTATGCAAATGAGAGAGGGCTTGGATTTTGCAATGGGGATGGCTCCGCTCTATCTTTGAACAACAACAAAAAAATGACGGTATATTTGCTTTGGTCGGTCTTGGGTTGGCCCCAACAGTGGTCATATGAAAACAAAAGAAACACATCTTCAGTGTAGTGATTGCAGTTTTTGTAGTCGCAATTTGTTAAAAAAAACAACAACAGCAACAAAAACCAAGGTGACTCCTCATTCTTAGCCTGAGTGGTCTTTAGTAGTTTGCTGTGCAAGTTTCTCAAGATACTCTTCTTTTTTTTTCTTCTCAACATAGTGAGATAGGTTTGGGGTGGGGGCGGGCGGGTCTCACTATATTGTCCAGGCTGGCCTCCTACCTTGGCCTCCCAAAGAGCTGGGATTACAGGTGCAAGCCACTGTGCCCAGCCCATTAAGCTTCTTCTGTGTATAGTTTATCTCCTTAGCATCTGCTTTTAACCCATTGAGTAGACAAGCTCCATCACCAGGAGACCTCTGTCACTCCACACCTGCAGGCTAAACTTCTGCCCCCTTACTTTTTGGGACAGAGTTTCACTCTGTTGCCCAGGATGGAGTACAGTGGCACGATCTCGGCTCACCGCAACCTCCGCCTCCTAGGTTAAAGCAATTCTCCTGCCTCAACCTCCCAAGTAGCTGGGATTACAGGTGTACACCACCACGCCAAGCTAATTTTTGTAAATTTTGTAGAGACAGGGTTTCACCATCTTGGCCAGGCAGGTCTCAAACTCCTGACCTCCAGTGATCCGCCCGTCTCAGCCTCCCAAAGTGCTGGGATTACAGGTGTGAGCCACCGTGCCTGGGAGGCACTGCCTGGGTGTACAGGAAGTCCTTCTGACTATCTGCCTTCCTTTCAGCCTGCTGTAGCCCCATTAACTAGCAGGAGTTCCTGCATGGGTGTGTGTGCATGTGTGTGATCTCTGTGTGTGTGTGTAGTCCTTCCGACAATCTAACCTCACACCCTCTTGCTAAAAGGAAGTCAGGCAGGGGGCATCAGGAGGAAATAAACACTGCACCCTGGTGAATGCGTTTTTAAAGAGCTTTTTATTGGCAACAGTGCAGAACCAAGGGAGAGGGGACGGCCCATCGCCAGTCTGCCCCAGCCTCCCCCCGGGGTCAGGTGCAAAATATAAAAAGAGAACCACAAATACAGCAGGGGGTGGGGGGGGGCCAGGGATTCGCTGAATTGTGATTGGCAGGGGCAGGCCCTGCTCACATTCTCACACTCGCACCCAGAATTCTCACAGATTGTAAAAATCTACGATCCCTCGGGCTTCCTCACAGAAAGTAAAATCTCATGTCCTCAGTGAACCCAGAGTCAGACAACAGCTGGGGCGTCCGCAGGGACAGTCACAAAGGAGACAGGTGGAAATGGTCAGATGAACATGGGTGAGGAGAAAAGACGGAAGGAAGGAGACCGTCAGGAACGATCAGAGGGGCCGGGACGATCGGAAAAGGGTCAGCCCGAGACAGGCTGAGCCAGCCAGAGTTTCCTAGAAGCGTTTCCAATTCAATGGCTCGCTTGGAGGGCCAACATGATCTAGGCCGAGGTTGCAGAAGCGCTCACACACTCACGCACACGCGCACGCACACACACATACCCATATATAATATATTTATTTATACATAATAGATATAATTGCCTTTCAGAAACCAGGAAAGGGATAAATAGCTACGGAATGGGTCTGGGATCGGGATGGGAGACTCGTGACAAGGGGCACGTGGAATGTTTTTCATGCAGCACGGATGGAGGGCGGCATGGCCCACCCCCCCCGATATTAAAAAATATAAATTTGCCTCATAAAGAAATCCTCATGAGATGAAGCGCAGGGAACGGCGGGGGTGGAAGAGCTAAAACCAGGGTTGGGGCTGGGGGCACTTGGGCATGGGATCGTGAGATTCCAGCCCCATGAGTTTGCCAGTCCAAAAATATTGGGGGTTTAGGGGTACTAAAGCCTCAGCCCTGAAATCTTCTCCGGAAAAAAATGTCACACCCCCTTGCTCCCTTCCTAGAGAGGATGTGGGGGGGCCAAGGGATGGGAGAAGGTGGCGTCCTAGGCTGGGGATGGGTCAGGGGCCTTGAAGAAAAAGGCCAGGGCTTAGGGCTGAGGGTCCTGAGGAGAGAGAGAGAGGCCACATAGATGGAGGACTGCCATCCCCTTCTCAGTTCGGTCACCCCCCCTCGAGTCTAACTCACTGTTGAGGGGAGGGAGAAGGGGGATGGATGGAGAGGAGACTGAGGAGAGGCTTTAGGGAGTGGGGTGCATTATTCCTCCAGAGGGGTGCTGCCCCACCCAGCTGCACCCCACAATCTGGCCAACTCATTTCACAGTATAAATCACTCCAGCAGGACGGCATCACAGCACCCCCTGCTGCCTGAAATCAGAGCGGCCCAAGGAGGAAGGCCAGGAGGGTCGGCTGGCAGGGGCCAGGGGCTTGGGATAACACTGTCATCAGAAACAGGGCTGGGGGCCGATTTCGGGGTGGGGAGCCTTAGGAGGCCAGAGATTCCAATCAGAGCCAGTTTTCCTGGGAGGGCGTGGCTAGACAGTCAGGGAAGGACGTTCACATTTCAAAAGAAGTCTGGTCAGGGTGAGATTATTCTGGGAGGGCATCGAATTCCCTTTAAGGGGGGGCTCAATTCTGCCCAGAGGGAAAGAGGATCTAACCCCATGGAAATGTGGGATAAATAAGCTAAAGTCGGGAGTACAGGGGAAACCAACGTAGGCACCCCCTAAAAGGGTGGGTGTAGGAGACGCTGGGTGGGGGGTGGCATTTTTCCTTGTTGAGCCTCTCTGGAGAGGACTCCAGCCCGCCCCCTCAGCCCACCTCCCACCCAGTCCCCTCATCCTCACACAGGACTGCCCGAAGGTGGGCGTCACCCCCCCCCATCCCCACCCATCCCCAGAGCTTAGGTTGACGTCAGAGAGACAACAGGCAGCTGGGGGTGTCCATCCCCTTCCCACCCCCTGCTCCCAAAGTCACCAGCTCTCCGGCCTCGCCGGGGCACAGAAACAAGAGGCTGGACAAAAGACAAGGAATCCTCCTGTCCGATGGCATGGCGCAGCGGCCGCAGAGGGTCAGACGGAGGAGCCAGGGAGGCCACACGCCCACTTTGTCTCTTCCCCTCTCTCTCCTCCTCCTCCTCCTCCTCCTCCTCTTCCAAGTCTCTCTCCCTCGTGTGTTTGTTTGTTATGTGTGTCTAAAGAGTTCACAGAGCAAGGAGGGAGGGCGAGTTCAGGGGATCGGAAGGCTGGTCACTGCCGCTGGTGCGCTGGGCGCCGGGGAACGCGGAGACCTCCGGGCAGGTGAGGACAAACGAAGAAGTGTACGAAGGGTTAACAACGGGGAAGGGGTCGCCGAGGACTTGAACTTCACTGTGTGTAAAGAGAGAAGCTGTCAGGTTGGGGGGTGCGTCTTGGCTGGTCTGGAAGGGCAGGGGCGGTGGTGGCGGGGGCGGCAGCAGCCAGCTGAAGCCATCTTCCTTAGCCGGCACTGAGCCCGGCAAATCTCTCACCTCCGCCAGCGGGCCCGGCCCGGGCCCCTCTTCGTAGGGGATCTTGCAGCCCGGTTTGTGGGCCACCAGCACAAACTCCAGACGTTCCTTCTCCTTTTGGAGCTCGGCGATCTCCGACTCCAGTTCTGCTTTTTCTTCCTCCAACTGATCTGTCTCCTGAGGCCGGGGAGGCCAGGTCACCGAAGAGAGGGGAAGAAGGAGAAAAAAGCATGTCAGTGACCGGGAAACTCGGGTCATGGCTCCCCTGGATTTGCTGCTGGAAGGCAGCCCCTGGCTGAGAGCAAACACCCCTCTGAGATGGAATCCTGGTAGCCATGGGACTTGGGGCAAGGGTCTTGCCTTCTAGGAGCCTTGGTCTCCCCCATCTGTCCAAAGGATAGTAGGGAAGGGGCCAGGTTTATGGGGAAGTCTCTGGTATGCAGGAGGCATGCAGAGGTTTGTTGAATGAATGAACAATCGTTATGTGGTTAGTTTTGTTTTGTGTCTGAGACAGAGTCTTGGTCTGCCCCCCAGGCTGGAGAGTGCATTGGTGCAATCATGGCTTACTGCAGCCTGGACCTTCTGGGCTCAAGGGATCCTCCCACTATAGCCTCCAGAGTAGCTGGGATCACAGTGGTGTGCGCCTGCCACACCCAGCTAATGTTTTTTTTTTTTTTTTTTTGGGTAGGGACAAGGTCTCCCTATCTTGCCCAGGCTGGTATCGAACTCCTGGACTCAAGCGATCCTCCTGCCTTGGCCTCTCAAAGTGCTGGGATCACAGGCATGAGCCACGGTTATGTGATTTTAATGCGTCCACTTCTATTATCCCTCCCTCTCCACCTCCCCGGGAAGAGCAGGAAAGTTGACAATTCCCTTGTTCCCTTAAGGAGTAACAGCTCACTCTGCAGGCATACTGCAGGAACTCTCAGACCACGGGTGGGTGTAGGAAGGGAGTGGGTTTTGGGGGATGCCACCAGCACCAGCAGAACTGTGGGTAGCTAGGGCAGGAGGTGGAATAATTTCATTTCACAGGCTCTCCAGAATGTTAAGGGTAGGAGCCTGGGCGATTTGATGAGGGTTTGCAGAGATGGAGAAACTGAGGCAAAATGGGTTGTTCCTTGCCAAAGACCAGATGGGAGAAATGAGAGGAGCTCCTCTCTCCTCAAGGGCCCCATGTGGCCCCTCGGGATGAAATGAAAGCTAGGAAACTAGGGCACGGGGTCGGGAAATGGGGAGGGCAGGAGTGGATTTAAGTACATGGGGGTCTGTGTTCATGCCTGGGGCTACCCCATGTGGCCACACCAATACCGACTTCCATATGTGGAACGTGTAGTTCTCAACCCAGGATAAGGGGACAGGTGGAGAGGTGGTCAGAGAATGGGGAGAGAGCTCCCATCACCATCCCCTCTCCCACCCCAGGGCCTGTCCTCACCGCCTGGAGTCGGTCGGTCAGCTCCCTCCGCCGGTTCCTGCATTTAGCTGCTGCTAGTTTATTTCGTTCCCGGCGCACCCTTCGCTTCTCCTCTTCCTCTGGGGTGAGCTGAGTTGGGGAAATGGAGGCCATTAGATTTGGGGTTACAGTGCTCCTCCACCCATTGCAAACCTCTACTTCTTTCAGAACCCCCAGTAGCCAAAAACCAGCCTCCAGTCCTCGCTCATGTAGCAAGGATCTTGGGGTTTCTGTAACACGGAGGCCTTCATGGAGTCCCCTCCATTCATGAGAAACTTCCTGCCTCTCTTGCTTCCCCCTACCCAGGCCAAGTCCTGGTGCCGCTTACTCACCGTCTCCTCTCGGGGTCTCCTAGGCCGGGCTCGAGCTGGGCGGGCAGGCCCAGGCCCACTGGTGGTTCCGCTGGTGGAAGGCCCGCCACTGCCACTTGCTCCGCCACTGCTGTAGCCACTTATGCCTGGTGTGGAGTAGCTGGTTCCCGGCATGTCGTAGGGGTCAACGACCGGGGGCTGGGAGGCCAGTGGCTGCCCCTGGGACTGGGCCATAGAAGAGATGAGGGTGGGTTGCACAAGCCACTGGAGATCCTGGCTGGTTGTGATCGCGGTGACCGTGGGCACGAAGGAACCGGGCATTTCCCCGAGACCGGCGCACTCCTACGGGGTGACACATACACACACAGGCGTAGACACACAAACAAAGACACCGACACACACACACCCAACACACATAACACACACCGACCCCGTGAGTGAGCACAGGGTGAGCGAGTGTGGATGTGTGTGTCACAGGGAAAAAGCCACAACACCCACCCTTCCACTACACCGTGACGCAGTGGTTAATGAGAGGATTTCTGCTCAACTGGCTTCTACCTCCTCCTTCTTCCTCGGGGAAAGGTTGCACGGTTCCAGCGGGTGGTGAATCACACCCCGGCTTGGTGACTCTTAGGTGTGGGGGGTGGAGAGGAGGCTGGACACAGCCGGATGACAGAACCCCCGGGACGGAGCCACAGCCACACACACAGCCACAACACCCCACCCCCACCCCAGAGACAAGGGGAGGGAGAAGGAGAGGCCTTAGGCCAAGCCTTTCTCTACACTCACACACACACACACACCCCTCTGCGCGAGGTCCCATGCAGGGGCGGGGGTCCCAGTAAAAAGGATGTTTGGGGGACGGGCCTAGGAGTTTAGAACAACGTTTCAAGTTACTGTCTCTTTTCAGAGTGCGACTGACGAGTCACGGGGTAGGGTGAACGGACAGGTAGAGAAAAGTAACCACCGGGCCTCCCTCAGATTGTCGCGGAGGACGATGGTTCGGGACCTGAGCCCCCAAGCCTCAGCAGCGCTCATCTCCCCCCTCCCGTAAATGGACTCCGGGCACTGCTCTGAAGGCTTAACTACTCTCTCGGGGGGCGTGGTGAGGGATGGGCTGGCTCGCCGGCCAATCAGCGTCCTGGGAACCCAGAGGGGGCGGAGCTCCTGGAGACCACCTGGCTGGTTGCCCTTTCGTTCCCGGTTCTAGTCAGGTCTTGGGACACACCGCAGGGACCGGGCATCCGGAGCAGACAGAGTGGGAGCGTGTCTCTGTGTGCCTGGAGAAGAGGGTGACAGCCACCGTATCTCCCCAAGAAATGCCGGCACACAGACAGACACTCCCTGCTCCTGAGAGCCCAGGGACCAGATCCCTGCAAGGGCCTCGCAGATCCATTGGATCGCAGAAAGCCGCTCTTGTCAAGACAGGGATCCCCTCGCTCTGCCTTTCTAGAGGTGCCGAAAAGAGACCCAGCCGCCAAAGAACCACGGGTTCCGGGGACAGAGAGGGGGAAGGAAACTGCACTCTACAAATAGGAAGAGAACGCTGATTGGCCAAGGCCCGCGCCCCGGCGGCCAATAGAAATGCCGGGCTACCCCCTCCCTTAGCAACGTGGCCCCGGCGTTCCAAAATAGAACGCTCCCGGGACGTCAGGGGCGGGGCGGACGAAGGGGGCGCCGCGCGCCGTGCGTGCCCCGCGTCAGACGGAGGATTCCAGCGCGTCAGCCGTTACGCACGGGTCCCCCGTTACGTCTCCGCGCAGGAGGCGGAGGCAGCGCGACCGAGGGTTCGAGGCCCCTCTTCCCGATGGGTGGAGGGCGCCCCGGCACCAAAGTGGGCGCTTCGAAGGAGGAGGAAAGGAAAGGAGGCTACTAGAAGCTTCTCCGGGATTTCCCCCACCTGCCTAACTGCGCTAGCTTCAGGTCAGGAACCCGAGCAGGGGACAGTCCCGGGGGCCGGCTCAAAGTTCTCAGTCCCGCTACCGCATACACGTTGCACTGAGCGGTGCATCACCCCTCCCCAGGTCCAAAGCCTACCCTGCCTGCCGCGTTCGTTCCCTCCCTGCGCTCCACTCGCACAACCAACTGCAAACATCTCCCGACTCTTTGCAGTTTGCAAAGTGCGCTGTGAGCCTTTTCCATCTCAGATCTAGGGTTCTGACGCGTCTTTATGTGGGGATTGGGGGTTATTCTTTTCACCCTTGACTTAAAAAATAAAACCTACAAAGCAGCACCCCATTATTAAAAACTTACCTGGGAGGCGGCGGCGGTGGGTGGACTGCCGAAGGAGTCCACCGAAGACAGATACTGAGACTCGGCAGAGGGTGAGGAGCTGCACCGGGAGCCGGAGTCGTAGTCTCCGGGAAAAGCCTGAAACATTTCCCTGGGCACAGGGGGGGCCCTGTGACCACGCTGAGGTCGCCGGGAAGCCAAGGCTATGGCCGGGTTGGGGAAGTAAGATGCGAGTCCGGGGTGAGCCGTGGAAGTCCCGCGTGAGCCGAGCGAGTCCTCAAAGTACGCTGTCAGGGGAAGCTCGGGGAAGGAGCAGCGTCCCGTTCCAACAATAGCAAAGTTTCTGTGCAGTCTCTCTGCGGTGCCCAGATCCCCACAGTATGCCGCTGTACCTCCTGAAAGTGCAGGCTCCGTAGGACCCGGGGGCGAGGGAGGGGTTGCTCCCCCAGGGGCAGAAAGCGATGTCCCGCTGTACAGAATCAGCTTCAGCTACCGTCTCCTCCGCGCGTCCGGCGGGTCCCACTGGGGGAGGGGAGTTATAAAGAAAACGAAAAAAGTAAGTCCGTCCTCCAAAAGAAAAGAAATATCTAGAAGAATCTTTCCAAAAACTTTCTCTCCGGAAAAAAAAATTAACGAAATTTCATAACCCCCAAGAAGAACCACAATAATCAAGTTTCCAAGTCCTGGCTCCGCGTGTTCCTGCCGTGGCCGTAGCTCTCAGTCTTATGAATGAAGCAGACCCGCCAGCCTGTATTTATTTGCCGGGACCCGCCCCCCTGCTTACGTCACCCGCCCCTTGCTGGACAAACTTCCCGAAATCTCCGGTCCCGCCAAATCGAGTCCCGCACCTTCCAGCGAGAGGTCTGTTCTGGACTCGATCTGGTCACTCGCAGGACCCTCGGGGCCCTGGGGGTCTCGGGGGCTGCGTTCCGGGCCACTCGGCGGGAGGGGATCCCGGCCCCGCCTCTCCGGAGTTCCTGTGACGCAATTAGCCATATAAGGAGCTCGGCCGGCGCGGCGGAGTGTTTGTTTGGTATCCTAGCAATGACGTCAGAGGGAATCCCTCGCTCGCTAGCGCGCACCCGGCTCCCCGCCCGCGCCTGCGCAGTGCCACGCCGCCCGGGGGCTGGTATTAATAGGCGCTTAGACTAGCCCCGAGGGTCCCCGCAGACCCGGGCGGGGAAGACCCCAGCCTGCAGGTCCCCGTCACCTCTGGCGCCCCCACCCACCCTGTTCTACGGCTGGTGCAGCGCCACCATTCAAGAAGAAGAGATCTCCAAAAGGAGACGCTGGTTAGTGTGGTGTGGTCACGTAGGTGGGGAAACTGAGTCCCGAGCGGGCTGTGATGCCCAGGTGAAAGTAGAGGTAGTGGTGGGATTCCAAGGCTGGTCTCAGTTTCTATCTTGATCCGCTGTGCGAGCTTGGGAAATGTTTTCCCTCTCTGAGCTTTGGCTTTAGTCTTCGCGACTGGGCAAAGGAAGTGTATCTTGGACCCTGCTGGCCTCCCTGCTCCGGCGTTCGGGCTTGCAGGTTTGGAGGGGATGGGGAATGAAACTAAGGGGGAAGCCTCTCTTCTGATGGTGTTGGGAGCCTCTTTTTCCACCTTTTAATCCCCCCGGAGACAAAGAATGTGTAAGGGGGATGGAGATATTATTATTAATTGCAATAATAATAATGAATGCCTTGTTTTGGCACATGGCAAGCACAGCTCCTGTGCTACGCCTTTCAGAACAAGATTTGTAATCTTTAAAACAGCTCTGGAAGGTTAAGAGAGAAAAATCTTCATTTTATAAAAGAAAAAAAAAAGATACTCAGGTTAAAGCACGTGCACAAGATCCCATCACAAGATAGTCAAACCCAGAGTTGGCAGACTCCAGAGTTCCTACCCTTTCCATTTCTTTTCTGATTTCTGAGGACTGCCTGGTTGGATGAAACTCCCTGAAAAACCTGTGTCTGGGGATTGTTTCAATGATAATGGTGATCATAGTGGCTTCCACTTGTCAGGTCTTTCTAAGTTTTACAAACTCCCTCTGACCGCTCTTAGCGTGCATTGCTGCAATCTACACTCAGAGGGGTAGAGCTGACTACCTGAGCAAACCTAGTTAGCAAATGGGGTTCAAGAGTCTGACCTGGGTTTTTTATTTTATTTACTTATTTATTTTTGACTGAGTCTCACTCTGTTACCCAGACTGGAGTGCAGTGGCACGATCTTGACTTACTGCAACCTCCAACCTCCCAGGTTCAAGCAATTCTCCTGCCTCAGCCTCCTGAGTAGCCAGGATTGCAAGTGCACACCACCACACCTGGCTAATTTTTGTGTTTTTAGTAGAGATGGGGGTTTCTCCATGTTGGCCAGGCTGATCTCAAACTCCCAACCTTGGATGATCCTCCTGCCTCTGCCTCCCAAAGTGCTGGGAATACAGGCGTGAGCCGCCACGCATGGACTGACTTGGATATTTCTGAGACCACAGCCCCCAACTCTTAAGCACCCACTGGGAAGAGTGCCACCAGCTACTTCACAAACCTCAGAGACCCCAGCACTTCCCTCCCAGTGCACAGCCTGGCCCAACCCTCAGCACGAAGGAAGAAGCACTTTTAAAACATCGGATTTCACAGGTTCAGAGAGGGGTAGGGCCTGTCTCAGGGTCACACAGCAAGTCTGTGGCAGAGCCGGGGTGATGGTTCTTAATTTCCAGGGGAGTTCTGATTTCCTGCCCCAACAGTAGGTAGGCTATAGGGAGATGTAGAAGGCTAGAGGGACATGGGGGCATAGGTGGAAGTTCAAGTTTCCAGACAAAAGTCCAGCCTCAAGTCCACCCCCTACCCTGTTCCCCCACACCCCCTCTGTCTGCCACCAGCCAGGAGGGAGGGACAGAGACTGGGAGATGACACAGCAGCCACGAGTAGGCAGTGACTCGGCCCCAGCATCAGACAGGGAATGACCCCTCATTCTCCTGTCCCATCCAAGCCCCTCATCTCCTCCTCCATGGAATAAAGAAACACACAAAGACCTACTCTGGCTGGCCAGAGACTCACACCCAACACAGGCGACACAGACATCCACACAGCCGTCCACCAGGTCACACGCGGGCACTCAGACGTTCACCCAGAGCCACACAGAAGCAGCTTCACAGCATGTGGAAACACACTGTCATATGGTTACCAACACACACAACACACATCCCTACACACACAAGAAGACATAAGGTTCAGGTGTACAGCTAAACGGGGACAGGGACAGACCCCCAAAACACACAGAGACCCCTAGACCTTTACTACAGATGCACATATGATCTCACACACTGACGCACACACACCACTCAGAGATCAAGAGAGCAACACACACACATATACACACACAGACCAATAACCACACATCCTGCAGACAGATTTGTGTAAAGATCTTCACACAACCATTACAAGAGGTAATTCTTCCCAAGAGCTGATATTAACTTATTTAATTCCTACAACACTCCTGTGAGGCACAAATGGTCACTTTACAGGAAGGGAAACAGTGGCCCAGAGACGTGAAGTCATTCACCCAGAGTCACACAGCAAGTAAGCAGCAAAGCTGGAATAACACCCTGCAGGGTGTCAGGCTTCAAAGTCTGTGCTTTGAACTATTATTATTATTTGAGATAGAATCTTGCTCTGTCATTCAGGCTAGAGTGCAGTGATGCAATCAGAGTTTACTGTAACCTCGAACTCCTAGCCTCAAGCAATCCTCCTGCCTCAGCCTCCCAAGTAGCTAACACTATAGGTGCATACTACCATGCTCGACTAATTTTTTTTTTTTTTTTCTTTTAAGGATGAGTCTCACTTTTTCACCCAGGCTAGAGTGCAATGATGTGATCTTGACTCACTGCAACCTCTGGTTTAAGCAATTCTCCTGCCTCAGCCTCCCCAGTAGCTGAGATTATAGTCATGTTCCACCACACCTGGCATTTTTAGTAGAGATGGGCTTTCACCCTGTTGGCCAGGCTGGTCTCAAACTCCTGACCTCAAGTGATCCACCTGCCTTGGCCTCCCAGAGTGCTGAGATTACAGGCGTGAGCCACCATGCCTGGCCTAATTTTTTTATTAAAAAAACTTTTGTGGGGGGCACTATATCCCACCTCATGAGACTGGCGGAAGGATTTCTTAAGGCTCCTGACAGATTGTAGGTGCTGGGTTTTTTACTAAAACAAAGTATTGGCCGGGCGCAGTGGCTCATGCCTGTCATTGCAGCACTTTGGGAGGCCCAGGTGGACAGATCATGAGGTCAAGAGATCGAGACCATCCTGGCCAACATGGTGAAACCCTGTCTCTACTAAAAATACAAAAATTAGTTGGGCATGGTGGTGCACACCTGTAGTCCCAGTGACTTGGGAGGCTGAGGCAGGAGAATGGCTTGTTTTTTTTTTTTTGTTTGTTTGTTTTTTTTTTTTGTTTTTGAGACGGAGTTTTGCTCTTGTTACCCAGGCTGGAGTGCAATGGTGCGATCTCGGCTCACCGCAACCTCCGTCTCCTGGGTTCAGGCAATTCTCCTGCCTCAGCCTCCCGAGTAGCCGGGACTACAGGGGTGCGCCACCACGCCCAGCTAATTTTTGTATTTTTAGTAGAGACGGGGTTTCACCATGTTGACCAGGATGGTCTCGATCTCTTGACCTCGTGATCCACCCGTCTCGGCCTCCCAAAGTGCTGGGATTACAGGCGTGAGACAACGCGCCCGGCCTAGGAGAATTGCTTTAACTTAGGAGGCAAAGGTTGCAGTGAGCCGAGATCACACCACTGCACTACAGCCTGGTAACAGAGAGAGACTCGGTCTCAAAAACCAACCAAACAAAAAGTCTTCCTGACCTTTATACATGTACACCCTCCTGACCCATATCTGTAGGTCACTTAAATTTATCATGGGCCCTAGGCACTGTGCCCCTGGGCCTAGGAGAGAAGTTGACCCTGGAGACACACGTACACACACACACCTGCACTCACAGACATGACACACATACCTGCTCAAAGAGCATGGAGTGGG